CATCTGCGAACGGCTGCAATACAAATATCTGCGACGGCGGTGGCACTCAGGTGGAGACCCGGGCTTTGGACTTCTCCAAAGTTTGAGTTTGTACTCGCGTGGGACATTACGAAGTGTCGTCTCTCCATTGGAAAAGTAGAAGCCTAACGATGCGGATATTCGCATACGTGCGCCGCATACACGCGTCGCGTTTAGTATCGTTCCAACTCGTGGAGTTTTTGTTTACATATATTCGTGTACGATACAGGAATTTCTATTCACAAAATCATATATATATATTGTATTAACCGTGGGCGAACCGTATTGTGGCGATACGGGAAAATTTTGGAATACAATATCGTTCGATTTCTCTTTTCTGCTCTTCTCTCCCTTTATTCTATATTTTATTTCACTTTTCATTGAAACGAGAAAATCGTTAATAGTATTTCATATTATGCCAAAACTTTTTTGTCGATCGTTACTAACAACAAAAATTTTACGTTAAATTATTTATTGTTTACTATAATCTGTATTTAGATACATTTAACATTACGATTTACACGTTAAACAAATTTTCCCACGTTTGTTTATTGTGACTACTAATCTGTTGAATTATTTATAATTCTGCTTGCTTTGATATCGTGATTGCTTTGCATTTTTCAAATTATTTTTTAATTATTTAAATTATTAAATGTAAATATACATAATATTTGCAATTGTGAATTATTAATTCGATTTTTCAGATAAATTATCTTCACAATTTCTCTTTGATTAAATCTAAGAAACAAGAAGAAGAAAAGACGAGATCTCCGAACAGATTTTTACTTTCATGTCTCGAATGTCAAATTTTCTGCTTAGTGTCTCCGTTATTTTATTCTCACCGACTTTTGCTACAAATATAAAATTTATCTTGTGGTGCAAAGTGCTTCTGCAACGTCTCGTTTTTTTAGAAGTAACGCCGTTACGACTTTCTCAATTTTCTTCGTGTGTTCCACTCGTAACCCGAGTCGCAACGTTGGAGAGTCACCTGTTTCTGACTGAAACCAAACGTGATACGTTGAGCTCCATTATCCGAAGGATATCTGCATCATTGAAGTGCCCTAAAATTCCCGGAGGTCCAGTACTTGACGCGTAATGTGAATCGATGCATAATGCACGAGCATGTGAACGTGCGCGAGCGCACATTGGTTCGGAGAATACCTAGGAAGGAACGCATTTGTGATCGCATTTGTCGATGTTTACTCTACGGTAGTGTGTGCGTAGCGCAGCGTGATCAACGCTCGCACGCCTATCTCGGGTACAACGAGAATGGCCAGTGTGCGTGCGTGCGTGCGTGCGTGCGTGCGTGCGTGTATGCCTATGTATGTGTGCCTTTGAAATAACTGGGATTCCATTACGAAAGTGTGTG